ACAGCAAGCTTCTCTTCTTTTCTCTTTTGCTGCAGCTGCTGCAGCGTGAGTTTTGTATTGGGGTCCTCCCCAGGGGCGTCCCCTGGGGGCCCCTCTGGGGGCCCCCCGGGGGGCCCCCCTGGGGGGCCCCCCGCTGCTTCTGGCCATATGCATTTCTTAGCTTGTGCGTCTTCATCTGGGGTTTGTTTGATTCCGCAGCAAACCCTATTTGAGTGTTTAGGGTTTAAACCCTCGCCAGCTCTTCCCAAGGGCATCTTTTTGCTGCTGCTGTAAACCCTTTCTTCCTGGTCCCGCAGCAGCGCAGCAAAAAAACTCTCGGGGGCCCCCAGACACAGGAGGGCCCCCCCCTGGGGGCCCCCCTTCCCTGAGGGCAGTGCGCCCTGGGGGGCCCCTGGGGGCGCCCCCGGGGGGCCCCCCGGGGGGGCCCCCAGAGGGGCCCCCTGGGGGGCCCCCACGGCAGCAACTGCTGGCACAAAGGGCAGAGGGGGAGGGTCTTGTTTGCTGCTGATGTCTAAAGGTACCCTTTTGTGTCTGTTGTATTCATTTGCTGCTTCGAGAAAACTTTTTGTGTCTGCATTTATGCACTGAGACACAGAGTCCCCACACTGTGGGGGCCTCCAGCCAGCAGGGAGGCCCCCGGGGGGCCCCCCGGGAGGCCCCCCTGGGGGGCCCCCCTGGGGGGCCCCTGGGGGGCCCCCTGGGGCCCCCATGAAGGGCGCTGGGCAAAGCGTACGGCCGCAGAGAGGCATGGGGCTGGCGCCCGGGAGCTCAGAAACCCTAAACCCTAAACCCTAAACACCAAACCCTAATTCCGGAGCAGCAGGCCAAACTGCACACTAAATGGGTCTTTTACATTGTCTCCGCGCGGCAGGGTTTGAAATGGAGTCTCGCGGCGTCGACTCTGCGGCTTAGGGTTTAGGGTTTAGGGTTTAGGGTTTAGGGTGTAGTCCTTGCACGCGGCAGCTTTGCGCGCATGCATTCTTTTTTCTGGTTTTAAGGAGCAGAAAGCAATAAAGAATGAATAAAAGGATTGATTACTTTATTTTTTTTAATTTAATTTAATTTAATTTAGTTTAAATCCAAACAAATCAGCAAACTCAATCCCCTGCTGCCCGGGGGCCCCAAGTGACCCTATTGGCTGGCGAGCACTGAGAGTTTAATTATTTTCATTTTAATTATTTATTATTTATTAATTAATTTATTTTATTTATATATTTATTTATTTATTTATTTTATTTAATTTTATGTTTTCAAGTTTAATCTGCAGTTTTCCTTTCCTTGTGTCCTCTGATCAAGCCTCCTTGCTGCTGCTGCTGCTGCTGCTGCTGTTGCTGCTGCTGCTGTTGCTGCTGCTGCTGCTGCTCCTGAGGTTGAGCGACGACGAGCCAAAGGGAACTCCAGACCCTAGGTTATAGACCATAAAGCCCGAACCACAAACCCTAAACCCTAGACCCTAAACCCCAAACCCTAAACCCTAACCCCAAACCACAAACCCTAATTTCTAAACCCTCAAGCCTTAGCCCTTTGAGTTGTAGAAGATCACATGTACGTACTGCTGGAGCAGGAGCTGCCTGCTGCTGAAACACTAGGAACTCCAGTTCAGGGTTTAGGGTTTAGGGTTTAGGGTTTAGGGTTAAGGTTTTGGGCTATTTACAGATTCGTTTTTGTCTTTCAGAGTTTAATTAATTAAATCACTAATTGATTAGTTGGCTAATTGATTAACTAATTAATTATTTAATTAATTAATCGAATAATTAATTAACTAGTCAATTAATTAACTAATTAAATGGCTAATTATTTGATTAATTAAGTAGTTAATTGATTGAGCAATATATTAATTAACTAATTTATTTATTAATTTATTACTTACTTTATTTTTAAAAAAATAAATTTGTTTTGAAGTTTTTGCTAAGCCCCCGTCTCTCTCGCCAATGTGCTGTTTTTTCTCTTTTGGAAAATGCAGTTTTGTTTTTTTAATTTGATAATTTTAATTAAAATTAAAAATAAATAAATTAAATTAAATAATTTATATTTAATTATATATTTTCAATTTACTTTTTAAAACTTGTTTATCCTTTTTCCTTTATTTTTGTGCCAAGTCATAGACAATAAAATATAATTCAAACAACTAATATAATTAAAAATATAATCAAATTTAGTCCGATTAAATTAAATTAAAATCAAATCAAATGAAACTCGGAACTGCCTCCACCAGGTGTACAGACACCTGAGGTGTACAGACACCTGAAGTGTACATACATCTGAGGTGTACAGACACCTCAGACTTCATTTCTCTCTTCGCCTTTAAAACTAGCCACAGCTTGCCACAGCTTGCCACAGCTAGCCATAGCTAGCCACAGCTAGCTGTAACTAGCTATAGCTAGCTACAGCTAGTGACTTTTCCGCTGCTGGGCTGGTGACTAGCCACGGCTAGCCACAGCTTGCCACAGCTAGCCATAGCTAGCCACAGCTAGCTGTAGCTAGCTACAGCTAGCTGCAGCTAGCCATAGCTAGCTATAGCTAGCCACAGCTAGCCATAGCTAGCCATAGCTAGCCACGGCTCGCACCGCAAGTGACCAAGCAGCTAAGTAGCAGTGCTGTGGCTGAGTCTATGCTGGTCTTGCAGATTCAAACCCTAAACCCTAAACCCTAAACCCTAAACCCTAAACCCTAAATCCTAAGCTCTCATTCTGTAACTCGGGCGTGAAGAACGGCTGAATTAGCCCCTCCGGTTGGTGTTGAATCGAGTATGGTTCAGCACACGGGTTGAAGTTGACTAATGGGCTAGGGTGTAGGGTTTAGGGTTTAGGGTTTAGGGTTTAGGGTTTAGGGTTTAGGTTTGTTGGGCTGCTGCGAGGTGGACCGCCGCGAAGGCAGGGGCCGAAGACGTCGTCTGCACCACGAAAAGACGAAATAAATATAAATTGAATAAAATAAAATTAAATAAATTAAATTAAATTAAATGCGATAGAAATGGCGAAAAGCAAAGAAACTCCGCAGAGCTGCTTGAGGCCCCGCAGCGGCGCCAACTCGATAGTTGCAGTCCAGCATTGAGAGGAGTGGCAACTGAGGCTACAAATGCATTTAAATTAAATCTTTTAAAAATTTAATTCAATTAAATATAATTTTAATCATTTAAATCCCAAAAAATAAAATGAAAAGCGACTTTTCGCGTATGCGTTCCTAGGACTGCAGCGCGGAGCTGTCCATACACCTCAACTGGCGTTGCTGCCGCCGGCGCTTCCGCGGCATTTTCGCAGTTTTACTTTTTCTTCTGAAGACATTTATGAATAAAAGTTCATTTTAACAACACTGCGCGTTGAAAATGCTGCCTTTCGACCGTCTGGTGTTGTGCGGCGCCCCTGCTGCGTCTGCCTCTGCTGCAGCAGCAGCTGCTGCTGCTGCTGCGCCTGCTGCGCTGGTGGCAGTGCACGGCATGCTGGGCGACCGCAGCTCTTTGAGGGACTTCTGCAAAGGCCTCGAGCCCCTGCTGCCTCCTGGGAGGGTCTTAAAAGTATATTTGGTGGATTTGCCAGGCCACGGGGGTTCGGGGGCCCCCGAGGGGCCCCTGACGGTGCCGGGGATGGCTGCTGCGCTGCTGCAGCTGCTGCAGCAGCAGCAGCTCGAGAACGTGCTGCTGCTGGGCCACAGCCTCGGCGGCCAAGTCTGCATGTGTGCTGCTTTGGGGGCCCCCCAGGGTTTAGTTGGGGGCCTCTGTGTCATAGACATTTCGCCAATTAATTACTTTGAGCAGCAGCAGCAGCTGCCTGCTGTGGCGGGGGCCCTCGACATTGTGCTGCTGCTGCAGGCCCTTGCTGCGCTGGACCTCACGGGCCTCCAGTCCCCTGCTGCTGCGCTGCTGCTGCTGCAGCAGCAGCACCCCTCCATCTCCGACGCAGACGGGGCCTTCCTGCTGCAGCAGCTGCAGCAAACTGCTCCGGGGGGCCCCCTGCAGTGGCGCATGGCAGTGGGGCCCCTCAGCAGCGCGCTGCAGCGCCGCGAGCTCTGCTGGGGGCCCCCCGAGGCCCCCACGAGCAACAGCAGCAGCAGCAGCAGCAGCAGCAGCAGCAGCTGGGTTTTTGGGGGCCCCGTGCTGCTGTTTAAAGGCTCCAAATCCCCTTGGATTGATTTAAAAAGAGACACAAATCAAATTCTTTCTTTTTTTCCGAAAGCCAAAATTGAAGTTATTCAAGACGCGGGACACAGCCCCCACAAGGAGCAGCCGCTGCTGCTGCAGCAGCAGCTCATTCAGTTCTTTTTCAAGAACTGAGCTTGCTGCTGCTGCTGCTGCAGCTTATTCAGTTCTTCAAGAACTGAGTTTGCTGCTGCCGCTGCAGCAGCAGCTTATTCAGTTCTTCTTCAAGAGTTGAATTTCCTGCTTCTGCAGCGGCTAATTCTATTCTTCTTTAAGGCCAATTAGCTGCTGCAGCAGCAGCAGCTTATTCCACTCTTCTCCAAGAATTGAATTTGCTGCAGCAGCAGCTACCTCAGTTCTTCTCCAAACAGAATCAGCTGCTGCCGCTGCAGCAGCTAATTGCTTCAAGCCGAATTAGCTGCTGCTGCAGCTAATTGAATTCTTCTCCAAGGCCAATGAGCTGCTGCTGTGCAGCAGCTAATTCAATCCTTCAAGCCGAATTAGCTGCTGCTGCAGCAGCAGCTAATTCAGTTCTTCTCTTCTCTAAGTCCAACTAGCTGCTGCCGCAGCAGCAGCTTATTCAATTCTGCTTCAAGTCCCAAGTAGCCGCTGCAGCAGCAGAAGCAGCAGCAAATTCAATTCTTCTTCAAGCCGAGTCAGCTGCTGAAGCAGCAGTAGCTGCTGCTGCTGCAGCACCTAATTCAATTCACATTCATATCCAATTAGCTGATGCTGCTGCTGCAGCTAATGAAGTTCTTTTTTGGTTTTAATCTGCAGCAGCGCAGCAGCAGGTCGAGCTGAGCCAATGAATAAAAAGGAAATAAAGATAAAGTAAAACTAATTTAAAATGGAAGTAAAATGAAACTAACTTATAATGGAAATAAAAATAAAACTAATTCAAAATTTAACTAAATCTCTTTGCAGAAGTATTCCACAAGGAACTGCTGCGCCGCGTCCTTGGGGTGTACGTACAGCAGAGCTTCTGCAGTGGCACGTATAAAATTGTTTTCAAATGTTTTAACTTATTTATTTAAATGTTTTTTATGTAAATAATTAAATTTTAAAAGGGGAATTGAAATGTTGTGTTCTTTTTGAGGTGTCTGTACACCCCAGGTGTATGTGCACCTGCCGCTGTACGTACACCGCAAGACGGGCGAATCCATTTGCGGATTTTTCGGCGAACTTTTGGCCGTTTTTCATCCCAACTGCAGATTTTTAAATGCAAATTGCTCCAATTATGAATGTAATGGGGAACTTTCACAATTTAATTTGCAAAGTATCCAAAAAGTAAAATGATACTTCCTGCACTTATCTCTATTCTTATGGTGCACAGGAAGCTCCAAAGGACCTTTTGATTCCATTCTGCTGCTGCTGCACTCCGCTGCTGGCCCGGGGCACCTAGGGTTTAGGGTTTAGGGTTTGAGTGGCCTCTTAACAGAGGGGACAAAGGCAGTCCAGCACGTCACTACTACCAACTAGCTAGCGGGAGAGCCGGCTAGCTAGCTAGCCAGCTAGCTAAGCGGCTAGCTGGGTAACTGGCTGGCTAGCTGGCTAGCTGGCAAGCTGGCTGGCCAGCTAGCTGGCCGCTAGCTAGTTGGCTAGCTAGCTAGTTGGCCAGCTAGCTAGCCACTTAAGACGCTCCCGTTTGTCAGACTCTGGCCGGGGCCCTTTCTCTGCGATGGCTTAGGGTTTAGGGTTTAGGGTTTAGGGTTTAGGTTACAACTCCACATCAGTTTGGTGTGGCTTCGCCTCAGTAACATATGGCTGCTGCGCCAGCAGCAGCTGCTGCTGCTGCAGCGGCTCGTGCACTGGCTGCTGCTGCTGCTGCTGATCTAGCTCTGGCCCTAAACCGGCGAAAAGGGGCTCGTCAGCGAGGGTGTAGAGTCTACTGCTGCTGCTGCTGCTCTGTTGCTGCAGCTGCTGCAGCTGCTGCAGCAAGCGCTGCTGCAGCTGCTGCAGCGCCGTCTGGTCTTCAGCCGGAACGGAGGGGAGGTCAATAGGCTCTACCAGCTCCTCTGCGTTGTATTTGCTGCTGCTGCTGCTGCTGCTGCCATTTATCTCTTCGACGCTTCTTTGCTGCTGCTGCCCTTGCCATTGCTGCTGCTGCGGAGTAGCAGCTTCATCTGGAACCGGCTCTTCTGTCTGAGCCTCGGCGCTGCTGCTGCTGCTGCTGCTGCTGCTTCGCTTGCCTTGCTGGTCCTTTTCCTGTTCCCCCCGCTCCTGGCCGTCCTCCAGGGCCCCCCCCTGAGAGCCCCCTGGGGGCCCCCCGCGGGGGCCCCCAGGGGGGCCCCCCGGCGGGCCCCCCGGGGCCGTGCCGGTGAGCCTTTGCCAGAAGGCCCTGAGGCGGGCGATGGGGGGCCCCACGAGGGGCCCCCAGGGGCCCCTGGTGGTCTCCTGGGCCGTGAGGACGGCGAGGTGTTTGTCTCTTTGGATTTGCTGCCTCCACTTTCCTGTGGGGTCAATTAAGTTTGCAATTTCTTCTCCCATTAAAGTTTCTTTTTCCAAAAGTGCTGCTGCCAAGACGCAGACGGAGCCCCAGTGCCGCCGCAGCAAACCCTCCGCCACCGCCTCCGCGCGCGTCACCAACGAACGCACCTGAACCCCACCAAACCCTAAACCCTAAACCCTAAACCCTACACCGTAAACCCTAGCGGCGCTGCAGCGGCCGCTGCCTCTTGAACGCGGAGGAAGAAGAATCCACCATCCCCCCAACCGCCCCCAACCCTAAACCCTAAACCCTGAACCCCGAACCCCACCCCCCACCCCCCAACCCCAAACCCTAAACCCTAAACCCTAAACCCTACCTCGAGGTCGACCTGTCTGGCGGTTTCGGGGCTGAGGAAAAGCTCCCTGGCCGCAGCATTGTAGGCCAGGGGCCCCAGCAGTTTGCTCATGCCCCAGCTAGCCACCATCTTGAAAGCTAGCTGTGTTGCTGCATAAATGTCGGAAGCAGCTCCTGTGGAAATTGCTGCTGCTCCAAAAGCTATTCTTTCTGCTGCGCGGCCCCCCATGCACACGCAGAGACGCGCAAACAACTCCGCGAACGAGGCCCCGTAGCGCTCCTCTGCGGGCAGCTGCAGCAGCAGCAGCAGCAGCAGCAGCAGCAGCAGCGGCGGCAGCAGCAGCGCGAGCGGGAGCAGCAGGGGCGCAGCAGCGGCAGCGGCGGGAGTGCAGCAGCAGCAGCAGCAGCAGCAGCAGCAGGAGCGCAGCAGCGGCAGAGTGAGCGTCGGCGGGCGGGATGACTCGCGGGCGAGGGGTCGAGGCAGCAGCAACTCCAAACCCTCGCCACAAACCCTAAACCCTAAACCCTGCCACAACCCCGCGGCCTGCCCCAGCCAACAACAAACCCCAAACCCTAAACCCACCCCTCCACTGCCCCCTCAAACTGCCAAACCCTTCCCCCCAAACCCCAAACCCTAAACCCTAAACCCTACCTGCTGGACGCGCCCGAGAGCGTTTCACCCCTCAACTGGCCCCCCAAACCCCGCCAAGCCCTCCCCCGCCAACCCGAAACCCCAAACCCTAAACCCTAAACCCTAAACCCTACCTGCTCGACGAGCCCGAGCGCATTTCCCCTGGAAACAATGGTGGCCTTGTGGATGGGGTCTGCTGCTGGCTGCAGGTGGAAAGCCACAACTGCGTGGCCAGCTTCGTGTGTTGCAGTTTGCTGCCGCAGCAGCAAATTGCGCAGCAGCGAAACCCTCGAGGGGCCCCAACTCACTTTGTCCCGCGCCTCCAGCAGCTCCGAAACCCCCACGAAACCCTTGTCTGCAAACCACAAACCCTAAACCCTAAATCCTAAACCCTACCGCCGGCACACTGCCTTGAAGCGCGCGACGCTGGAGTCTCGGGCGTGGGCGGGGCCTGCTCGGCGAGACTGGGGGGGTGCGCTGAAGACTAAACCCTAAACCCTAAACCCTAAACCCTAAACCCTAATGTGTAAACCCTAAACCCTAGCGAGCCGGGTCTACGCAGAGCTGGCAACTGTTGGAGGCGGAAGGAAGCTCGCTGAAGGCCCCAAGCGCCAGCGAGGTAGCTCTGGGGTTGAGGCCCCGCAGACTAGGGTTTAGGGTTTAGGGTTTAGGGTTTACCAGCGCGGGCTGCAAGCAAGGCTGCTTCGTTCACGAGGTTCTCCAGCTCCGCCCCAGAAAAGCCCGGAGTCAGTTTGGCTAGCTGGCTAGCCACGGCTTTGTGCAGGGCCCCCTGCCCCTCCCCCTCCACCTCGCTGCTGCTGCTGGTGCTGCTGCTGCTGCTGCTGCTGCTGCTGCTGCTGGCGCTGTTGGGGGCGAGCACGTGCGAGGGGCTGCTGTGTTTCTTCCTGCTCGCAGCAGCACTTCTGCTGCTGCTGCTGCTGCTGCTGGCCGGAGGGGCTCCTGGGGGCCCCCCCTTTGTCGCCTGGGGGCCCCCCGAACCCTCGGGGGCCCCCCGAGCCTGGGGGGCCCCCACACCCTCGAGGGCCCCCAAACCCTCGGGGGCCCCCAAAGGAATCTTTTGCAAATACTTCATCAAAATGGCTTCTCGGGCGCTTCGGTCGGGCAGCGGCACGTGCACAATGCGGTCAAAACGCCCTGCGCAAAACCCCAAACCCTAAACCCTAAACCCTAAACCCTAAACCCTCGACCCTGAGCCCCAGACCCTCACCCGAGAGCCCTCGACCCTTGCAAGCGGCCGGGCGAATGGCGGGGCCGCACAGCCGCCTCCCCCGCGGGCCTGCGCGGGTTTAGGGTTTAGGGTTTAGGGTTTAGGGTTACCGGGCCTGAGGAGCGCAGGGTCCAGCGCATCCACGCGGTTGGTTGCAGCAAGTACAACAACCCCACCCCCCCCCCCTTGGAAGCCGTCGAGTTCCACCAGGAGTTGGTTGAGGGTTTGTTCGTGTTCGCGGGACCCGGGGGCCCCCCCGGGGGGCCCCCCGGGGCCCCTGCGGGCCCCCACTGCGTCCAACTCGTCTATGAAAAGTATCAGGGGGGCCCCCCTTCTTGCTGCAGCAAACAGCTGCCGCACTTTGCGGGCCCCCTGGCCCACATAAACCTCCACAAACTCCGAGCCCGACGCGTACAGCAGCGGCACTTGCGCCTCTGCAACACCACATATTAGGGTTTAGGGTTTAGGGTTTAGGGTTTGGGGTTTAGGGTTTACGGTTTGGCGGCAGCAGCGGCACTTGCGCCTCTGCAACACCAGATATAAGGATTTAGGGTTTGGGATTTAGGGTTTACGGTTTGGCGGCAGCAGCGGCACTTGCGCCTCTGCAATACCACATATTAGGGTTTAGGGCTTAGGGTTTGGGGTTTGCGGTTTGGGGGCAGCAGCGGCACTTGCGCCTCTGCAACACCACATATTAGGGTTTAGGGTTTAGCGCTTAGGGATTAGGGTTTGCGGGGATCGGGACGCCGCCAGCGCACAGATACGATGCAGCCAGTAAAGGCGAGGGTTTAGGGTTTAGGGTTTGGCGGCTGTGGGGGGGCTGGCGGCGCTGCGAGCGCAAGGCTCGGGTGTAGGGTTTAGGGTTTACAGGTGTTGGGAGGAGAGGGTTTGCGCCGCTGCAGGCCAGAGGGAGCAGCTAGGGTTTAGGGTTTGAGGGTTTAGGGTTTTGAGGGTTTGGGAGGGTACCTTGGGCTGCATCGAAGTGGCTAGGGTTCTTTGGGCCTCTGCAGCCACCAATTAGGGTTTACTCTTCAGGGTTTACTGGGGTTTAGGGTTTACTAGGGTTTCCTAGGGCTTAGTGTTCAAAGCTTGTTAGGGCTTCTTAGGGTTTACAGGGGTTTGTCACTAGGGCTTATTAGGGTTCACTACAGCTTTCAGAGTTCTTTAGGGTTTGTTAGGGTATATTAGGGTTTATTAGGGTTTTAGAGTTTATTAGGTTTTTAGGGCTTATTAGGAGGAAAGGGTTTAGGGCGGCCAGGGCTGGCTGAAGTTACTTGGCTCTCCTGAGGCAGGTACAGAAACCGCTAGGGTTTAGGGTTTAGGGTTTATCAGGGTTGCTGAAGAGCAGAGCCGTTGTCTAGGGTTTGTCTAGCTCAAAGAGGTTTAAGTCGGCAATAGTTGCTCTTCTTTGCCCAGCACTAGGGTTTAGGGTTTGGTCTATTAGGGTTTAGGGTTTAGCCATACTAGGGTTTAGGGTTTAGGGTTCAGGCCAGTCGCGCCGCAGCTGCGCACGCCTCCCCCCGCCTGCCCGCTCAGCTCTGCCCCCGAAACCCTAAACCCTAAACCCCACCCCCCACCCCCCACCAAACCCTAAACCCCAAACCCCAAACCCTAAACCCTAAACCCTAAACCCTACCTGTGGCAACGGCCCTCGCGAGGGCTGTTTTGCCCGTGCCGGGGGGCCCCACAAGCAGAACGCCCCTGGGGGGCCTCGCGCCCAACTGTTTGAATTTGTTTGGAAACTTCAAACACTGAATGGTTTCTTGCAGTTCTTCTTTTGCTTCCGCCAGTCCTGCGATGCAGCAAGTCCCTTCCCTTGCTTTGCTGCAGCAGCAGCAGCAGCAGCAGCGCAGCAGCAGCAGGAGCAGCAGCAGCAGCAGCAGCAGCAGCGCAGTAGCAGCAGCAGCAGCAGCAATTTACCAGCTAAGTCGCTGAATCGGAGGGGTTTAAACCGCTGAGTCTTCACTGGGGGACGCTCCGTGAGGGCCCGCGAACCTGCAGCAGCAGCAGCAGCAGCAGCAGCAGCAGCAGCAGTTTCAGCAGCAGCAGCAGCAGTTCCAGCAGCAGTAGCAGCAGCACTGCGAGCAGCAGCAGCAGCAGCCCGCGCCTCAGGGGCCCCTGCAACAGCAGCAAAGCTGCCTTGGGTTTCTCATCTTTTATTAAGCATTCTTTCAATCCAATCTCCACGAAAGAATAAATAAATAAATAAATAAATAAATAAATAAACAATTCAATTAATGTGTTTATTACTTTGTTTATTTATTTATTTAAATGCCTCACTGTCGCTGTCGCCCGCGCCCTCAGACCCCGGGGGGCCCCCCGGGGGGCCCCCCCCCTGCATGCTGGGGGGCCCCCTGTAGGCTGGGGGGCCCCCCTCACTATTAATACTTTTTAAAATGTTTAAAGTAACAACAGAAACAACTAAAGGCCAAATGGCCAGTCCCACACAAGCCCCTGCGAGAAACACCAGCAGCCACTTCCCTTTGCTGCTGCTGGGGGCCCTTGGGGGCCCCCCGGGGGG